CTCCTTCAATGACCAGCACCGGGGCTGAGGCCCTGCCATTCTCGCGGCCTTGCCAGCCCTCAGCCCCTCTGAGTTCTAGGTGAATCCTCTCTTCGTCACCCAGACCTGGGCGAAGGCCGAGGCTCATTGGCAAAGCGGGGGTTCCCACTATCCCCTCTGGCATCTCCAGCCCAGACCGTCTCTCTCACGGCCTACACAACAAAGGACATTTACAAGGACTTCAACGCAGCCATGTGTGTGGCTGCATGCTCCTGCCAGGAATGCCAGAACAACTGCTGCTTCAAAACACTGCATTTCCTGCTAACTGATGCACTGGTGACACTGAGGCATGCTCAAGAACGGGCAGTGTCACCACGTGTTCTGGGGTGTGCATGATGTCCAATTCCAGGCACAGTGTGGCCAGAAGGTCCGGTTTAGTCAATTCACATTCTATTAACATATTGTGTCAAATCAAATCTATTACATGATTCTATCAAAACAACTCCATTTAATAATTCTACCAAAATGATTCCATTAAGTAATTCTCACAGAGCCAGTCAAAAGTGACAATTCCTTAGCAGGGCTTATTGTCACTCTCCATACAAACACTTGTGGGAACGTCTCTTTCTCCCACCTTTGAGGAGGACTGTTGGGGAGCATCCCCTTCCTGAGGGAGGAACTTCACACACATTTCATGCCAAGTATGAATAGGGGAGAGGAATTTCTGTCTGAGAGGGGACTGGGCCTTGCCATAGTCAGGTAATGGATGGCCAGGCCCAATTCTGGTGCTTTCCCCTCCATTGTCAGTTCAGGGTTGGTGACTTGGGCTGGTTTTAGCTCAATTTAGCACCAGTGCCCTGCCTGGCTGGTGGGGACCTGCTGGAGCAGCTCTGGGGAATGACCTGGGGATTCTGCTGGGTGAACAATGGAGCTGGCCGTGTGGCCTGGGGCCAGGAGGGATCTGGAGGACACTCAGATGAGCGAGGCCAGGAAGTCAGGGAGTGTTAGTGCCCCTCTCCCTGCCCAGTGAGGCACATCAGGAGTGCTGTGCCCAACTCTGTTCAGAGCCATTTCCAGCTGTGCTCAGGGCTGTGTCAACCTCTTCCCAGTGCCATGTCCAGTTCTGCCCAGTGCCATGTCCAGTTCTGCCCAGTGCTCTTTCCCATTCTCGGCTCCTCAGGACAGGAAAGACCTGGAGATCCTGGTTGGCAGCATGGATGATGACAGGACTGGATCATTTCTGTCACCAAGTGACAAATACCTGAGAGAATGGAAATTTTCCCTTCCCATGAAGGTGCTGGACAGTACCTGAAGACAAACTGGCAGAAATGATAAAAGGAGGCAGAGGTGTGCACACAGGATGAAAGTCACAGCTAGAACCCTTGGAGAAATAGCTAAAGGGAACTCCAGTGGGATTTTGGCAAGTTCTGTAACAGGAACCAACAGCACCTGTGCAAAGAAATTGTTCCAGCAACAGTTCCTTTGGTATCAAAGTATTTGGTGAAAAAGAGCCCCAGAAGCCCCTTTTTTATGACTCTCCAGGACAATAAAAGGACTTGTTGGAGGAGGTGGATCAAAGCAAATGATTTACGAGAAAAGTACAGTTTCTGTATTAGCTAAGGGAGACATTTTAATGAATATTTATAATTATGGTGCATAAATACCCCATGGCAAATTTCCCCCTGATGTGCAGGACCAGGAGAGATCTGTTGTGAGTCCAAGCTGATAAAGAATTTTGGCTTTCTGCTATCTCCATATCCATCAGGGAGTTCACTCCAGCTGATTTTGGTATTGTGGAGGGGTGAGTGTGGGAGGACTCCTTGAGGGGACATGGGAGTGAGGGATTGGGATTGCGGACATGGGGGGATACTGGGGGAGTCACAGGTCTGGGATTGGGGTAATGAGGGTTTCTGGGGGAAAATGAGGGGGGACACGGGATGGTGAGAGTGCGACTGGAGTCATGGGTCGCTGGGAGACACTTTTGGGGCTGGACACGATGCCTGGATTTGGGTTGAGGTTCTGGGGTGACACCAAAGATTTTTGGGAATGGTAGTAGGAGTGGGGTCTGGGAACCAGCTGAGGGAGACACGGGTGGTCTCGGGGAGTGACCCCAGGATTTGGGTTGGGATTCTGCTGGGGCTGAGGGGACTTGTAGTCAGGTGTGGGATTGGGCTTCTGGTTGCAATGGTACTGTGGGATTGGGGTCCGTGGGGCTGGGGGATGTTGGGGAGGCATAAGTAAGCACAGGATTTGGGATCAGGGTACTCAGACATGTTTAGGGGGCGGCTGGGCAGGAGTGCCTCCCTTCCCCCTCACCCCACTCCCCTTCTGACCCCACTCTCCTCCCAAGTCCCTCACTGATGAACCCTCCCTGTGTCTCCCTGATGTCCCCTCTGTGTCACGCAGTGTCCACACTATTCTCTGTGGCCTCTCCCTGCCATGGCCCCTCTGGCTCAGATCCTGGCACTGCTGGCAATGGCCATGGCCACCATGACTGTCGACGTGATTCCCCTGGACATGGCCCCGGACTCCTTTGATGACCAGTACCAGGGCTGTGGCCCTGCCATGAAGGTGGCATTGCCGGCCCTCAACCGCTCTGAGTTCCAGCAGAATGAGGAGTTTGCTGTGGTTTGGGTAAAGGCTGCAGCCAAGTGGCAGAGTCGGGGGCCCCCTGAGTCCCCTCTGTCCGCAGACCAGGCCACCGCCATCATGGCCTTCACAATGACTGACCCCAGAACATTTAATGATGTCGTGCATGTGGTTGGGCGCTCCAGGCAGGAATACCGGGACAACTTCCGCTTAAAAACACTGCATTTCCTGCTGACCGATGCCCTGGCCACGCTGAGGGACGCTCAGAAAGGGCAGTGTCGGGAAGCGTTCCTGAAGGTGTGTGACACCCGGTTCGAGACACAGCCAGGTGAAACCATCCGGTTTGGTCATTTCATGCCGGTGTTCCCGAGCAAACAAATTGGTGAGTGCCCTGGCGAGACAATGCTAGAGCTGCACACATGCCATGGCGTGGAAATCCAGTTTTTCAGTGAACATCCAGAACCTGAAATCGTGCTGATCCCACCCTTTGAGACCTTCAAAGTCACACAATACACCCAGAAAGGGGACAAGACACAGATCCAGCTCCAGTCCACCGGGACCTACAGCAAATACAACTGCGAGTGGCTGCGAGGTAACACTACAGGGGACAACCTGGGGGAATGGGGATAGCCATGATAAGGAACAAGGGACAATGACACTGACTGGGGATGGGGGACAGGGACACCAACAGTGTCTGGGGGTAAAGGATACCCTGGGCTGGGGACACCAAGTCTGGGGACACCCTTTGTGGGCACAGGGACAGGAACTCACATGGCAGGGAAGAGGGATAGGGACTCCCATTTCTGCGTGGGAACAGGGAGAGGAACACCCATGCCAAAGGGCCAAGGGACAGAGACAGGGGTCTCCCCAGGTTACCAACTTTGTCCCTCTGATAAAGGCAGTGCTGTGGGGATGGACCCTCTTTATGGAAAAAGGTTGGACCAGGACCTCCCCATGCCACTCCCTGAAACCCTGTAACCCCCTGTAAACCCTCATGGCAACCTCTAAATACCAGTGAACCCTGTCACCTCTAAGCCCACCATGACTCCCCTGAACTCTCTGGCCCCTGTACCCTCCTCTATCCCCCCCAAACTCGCTGTCACCCTGTCACACTCATTCCCCCATCTCTCCTGTCATGCTTAACCTCCCATTATGGCTATCCCTGACCGCTTACTACCCCCATGGCCCAACTGATTTCCCTCTTTTTACCACAGGTTAGTGTGTCCGCAAGCCTCCTTTCCACCTTGGAGGACTCCTGACCACCACAGCCCGGGCAGTGGCAACAAGGACCCACTGAGCCATGAGGCCATCAAGGTCACCAAAGGTCACTGTGGACACTGCGGCAGCTGTGGCCACCATAATCACCAAGACACCCTCAGCCACAAGGCTACCACAGCCACCCTGTCCAGTGTGGTCACCAAGACCACTGTGCAAAACAATTGTAATAAAAAATTCAATCAAAACAATTCTGGTAATTAATTCTGACAAAGCCAGCAAAGAGAGAGAATTCCTAAACAGGGCTCAATGTCAGTCCCCACATCAACAATCATGCAAATATCTCTTTCTCTCAGCCTCGAGAAGCATCACTGGGGAGCATCCCCTTCCCAAAGGAAGGAACCTCACACACTTTCATTGTAAGCAGAATAGGTAAGAGGAATCTCTGTCTGACAGGACTGAATGTTCCCAGGGTCAGATGATGGATGGCCAGGCCCAGCTCTGGTCATTTACCCTCAGTTGTCAACTTGAAGTTGATGATTTGAGTTGGTTTTAGCCCCATTCAGCATCAAAATTAGATCAAGACCTCTCTCAATGTTGACCTGATGGCCACAAATGTGCCATTGTCCCTTGACCACATTCTAGGCAGAGCATCCTGCCACGTCCTGCACTTCAGGGGACCTTAAAGGCTGGAAACTGGGAGGTTCAAGAGGGCAAGGGCAGGTTTTGCCCCCGGGAACAGACAGTCCCCAGTGCCATCTCTGGCTGGGAAGGATTAGGTGGAAAAGCTGCGGAGAAGAACCTAGGAGTGCTGGTGTGTGACCAGTGAAGCTGGCTGTGTGGCCTGGGGCCAGCAGGGATCCAAGAGGTATGAGAAGAGCAGGGTCAGGAAGTCAGGGAATTTTCATGCCCCTCTGCCCTGCCCAGGAAAGCACATTCGGAATGCCGTATCCAGCTCTGCCCGGTGCCATGTCCTGTTCTGTCCTGCTCTGCACCCAATCCTATGCTCAGGGATGATGCTGCCTGAGATGGGAGGTTGGGCCACATGCCCACTGTGGGTCCACCCTGCCTGACCCATTCTGGGATGTGAAGATTCGGGCAGTTGCAGTTTGGGAATTGTCCACCGGAGGGCAGCAGCGAGCATGGGAAATCAGCAGCACTGCGCATGCGCCGCTCCCAGCTGCAGTTCCGGGTGCCAACAGCAGGCGGTAGCACGAGCTGCTGGCGCTGCTGAGCACCCGCCCCGCCCCATCCTGGCCCTGGAGGCTCTGCAATGGTTTGGGATGGAGCGACCTTAAAGCCCATCCAGTGTCAGCCCTGCCATGAGCAGGGACATCTTCCCCTGGGTTGAGCTGCTCCAGGTTCTGCCCAGCCTGGCCTTGGAAACAGCCAGGAATGGGGCAGCTGCTTCTCTGGGCAGCCTGTGCCAGGGCGTCATCACTGTCATAGGGATGGATTTTATAGGAAAGATGGGTGATGATGTCTTTGAAAAACTACTCGGAAATTTGAGGATTTTTACGAGAAATTTTTGTCAGTGTCTTCAAAATGGGTCTTTATATCTCTACACCAGCACACATGTGGTTTGCCATAGAACCCTAGTGGCTTGACCAGAAAGTTTGAAGTCCTGAACATTCATCTAATAAGAGAAATTGTTCCCCACACAGTCTATTCCATAACCCAGACAGCCTGAACTTCTGAACTTTGGGAGCAAATGATAGCTTCAAGGGGGATATGGAGTAGGTGGTTTGGGAATGCTGCATCTTCCCTGTACCACAGCCAATGGGAAAAGGGAGAGGGCAACATGCAGCCGGTAGTACGGGATAAAAGGAGGCTTCGCTCTCCGAATCCTTGAGCGAGAAACCCCACAGGGAATATGGCTGTGGAAACTGTCCCTTTATTCCAATCAAGTTTCAAGACTACTTTTTGAACACTCGGCTTTTCATAGTGTGGCTTTCCCCCACATACTTTAGATGCTGGGTAGAGCTTAAAATCTGACTGCCAAAAATGATAAAAGGCTGTAAAAGTATTTACACAGGACAATAAAAGTTTCTGGAAGCAGTGCAGAAAGAGGTAAAAGTAACTGCAGTGGGGTTTTTGACAAATTCTGAAACTCAGAAGGAGCTGCACCTGCCCAAAGCGAAAGTTGGAGGCAAGGTCATCTGGAGATGTTGGAGCACTCAATGAAATGACCCCCAGAAACCCCATTTTTATGACTCTCCAGGACAATAAAATTATTTCCCAAAAGAGTCAGAGCCATGCCAATTATTTACGGGAAAAGTGCTGGTTTTGTATTAGCTAAGAAGCCCATTTGAATGAATATGTATAATCAGGACTGATAGATTCTATGTGGCAAAGTCCCCTCTGTTGTGCAGCACCAGGAGAATTCATGGTCCTTCATGGCCCCTCATGGCCTCCTCTATACCCGTGTAATCCCTGACCCCTCTCTGACCTGCCTCAACCTATTCAACTCCATGAACCACTCATCCTCCTCTTTTTCCTCCCAGGTGGGAGTGTCCCCAGGGCCCCCACTCACCTCAGAGGGCTCTTCCTGGCCACTACAGCCCTGGTAGTGGCCACCAGGATTGTCTGAGACATGAGGTAAGGAAGGTCACTGTGGTCTCCACAATCACCAGAGCCACAGTGACCTCCAGAGAAAAGAGGCAACCAAAGCTACCAAGGCCACCACTGCCATTTTGCCTGGGTGGAAATAAGGAAAAAAAGAGGAAGAGAAGACAACAAAAAAAAATCCTACCTACTCCCCACCCCCCAACATTTCATTAAATGCCCCATACTTCTATGCCAATTCATTAATTTGCATTCTTTCCCAAGTCCTGTGAATTCCCATATATTCAGCACTTAAACCAAACCAAACTCTATTGCCGCATCCCAATTATTTTAACCTAGAAAGAAATAAGACGAATGCTTCTTTACAAATAGATTGTGTGAATCTGATGTTTGATGAGGCCTGGGACTTGTAGAGAAGGAAGTGACTGGAGAAGCTATCAGTTTAAGAAAACATTCTTCATTGATATGGACTTCTGCTCAGATAAGATCCTGACAAATTCCTGAATTTCAAGAAGAAGAACAAAGAAATAAAAGGCTTATGGATAATGATTTCCCTGCCCAGGGTGAAGTCAAAACTCATTTTAATGGTCATGTGTCAGTGCTACAGAAGGGCGGGGTGCGTAGTAAGAGGAACATTCAGTATGGAGTTTGGGAAGTGTGCCTTCCGAATGCCTCAGGCAATGGGGAAGGGGAGTGGGAGATATGGCCAGGAAAGCCCTCCCTGGACCCCACTGCTGTGAGCCCACCAGCATCATTCCTATGCCCACTAGCCCCACCACCCCACTCCCAGTCCCGTGTCCCTTCCCCCTTAGTGTCACCTCAGCCCCTCTGCAGTTCCCCAGCCCAAACCCTGGGCACAATCCCTGACCTCCCCAGTGTCCCCTCAGTGCCCCACCAGCCCCCTGTGCCAATCCCAGTCCCATGTTTACCCTTCCATTGTCCCCCCAGTGCTCCCCTGGTCCTCAATCCTACTCCCAATCCTCTGCAACTTTCTTGGAGTGCCGGGCTGATTACAAACCCCAACTGAATCCCTAAAGCCACTCCCTCAGCCCCCACTGTCCTCCACAGCCCCCTTCCAGACCTCAGTTCCACTCCCAGTCCCTTGACCCTGTTGGTGTCACCCCAGTACTCTAACCCAAATTGAGAGGTCACTCCTTGCCCCCACAACACCCCCCTGGAGCCCTCATGGCCCCACCCTGCAAACCCAGTCCCATGTCCCCCCCTCCATATGACCCCATTGTCCCCCAGCTGCTGACACCAAAATTGGCTGGAGAGAACTCCCTGATGGAAATGGAGGTATCAGAAAGCTGGAATTCTTGATCAGCTGGGACTCAGCTGATCTCTCCTGGTCCTGAACATCAGGCGGGACTTTGCCATGGGGTATTTATCCACCACAATTATAAATATTTCTTAGAAGGGTTTTCTTAGCTAATACAGATGCATCACTTTCTCTGGAAATAATTTGCATGGTTCTGCCACTTTCTGGGAGTCCTTTTATGGTGCAAGAGGGTCGTCTAAAGCATTTCTGGGTGTGGTTTTCTCTGAATGCCCCAATAGGCCAGATGACCTTTCCTGCAACTTCTGCTTTTTGCAAGCGCTGCTCCTTCTTTGGTCCAGTACTCGGAAAAGATCCTCCCTGGAATTTCTTTATCTGTTTCTCCATGGACACCTTCAATGTTCATCCTCTGTACCCACACTTCTACTGCCTTTCCTTGCTTTTACCCATTCATTTTAAGCTCAATCCTACATCTTTAAGGGATCTGCAACTTTCTATTCTCTCTCTTATTGCTCAACCCCCACAATCCCAATCTCACTGTTCCATCTTCCCGCAGTTCCCCCCAGTCCCACTC